ATTTCATATTTTGTCATTTATTAATTATATTATGCATACAAAATAAACTAGCATATAAATAAATAAAACAATATGTAAGACATTTCTAAAAATAATATTTTTTAATACAAAATCTATTTATTACAGTATAAAATATTTTCTATTGCTGATAAAAAAAAAATTTTGCGTCTAAAAAATTACAAGTGATAAAAAATATAAATTAATTCATACATATGCCTCAATTGATAATGGTTTTTAAAAACCACATATATAATATGATTCTTAGCAACTTACATTGACAAAAGGTCATTAACTAATATAACTCTCTTACCATTTTAGACAATGTTTTATAGAATGAACTATAGGCCTAGCCAAATCAATAATTCTTGAAGATGAGAATATAAACGACCAATCCAAATCTTAAAACTATTAAGTGGTTAGAGCTTCCTTTTAGATGACATGATGGTAGCTAGATAAGTAATCGATAAAATTATTGTGAGATATTAAATTTCTAAAAGATTATCATCCATTTTATATGATAATATATAAACGACTACACAGTGACCATTATTGTTTATCTAAAATATGCAAACATATGCTCTCAGCTAAGCCGCTGTAGTAATAATCTTAAATTACATAGCAACACAAATAATAGATGCTGGTTAATTTGCACCATGACACTCACGATGTAAACTAGTATCAGAATTTATTATGTTGAATAAATTGATAAAATAAAAACACTAAAAATCTTTGGAAGAAATAATTGTGCAAATATATTTAAGCCTTGAGTTATTTACACGCCAAGGATGCCATGAAATATTTTGGAACTATAAAATAAGGACCAGAATGATATGATGAAACAATTAAGATTTTATATATTGCCGCACCACCTCTAGTTGGTATATTATATCTTAAAATAATAGTAGTTTATAAAAATAACAAAAATATACTTATATTAAAAATTTAACTCAAAGCTGTTTTTTGAAAAAGGAAAAAAAACAAAAGAAAAGAAATCAAATTTATTACATCTATTGTAAGATGAATAATAAAATATATAATTTTTAAAATTATTTATAACTAAATAGGTGGCGTTAAATACTTGAAAGCAAATTGTTACTATATTTATTATCAAAAGCATTTATTAGTAAAATTCAATATAATATTAGCTGTATTATATTATAACTCTCAAATACGTCTATAAAAGTGGCATTTTATCTAATATTTTATAAACAACTGTATATAATAGAGGATAATAAACTATATGTCTACTTACTTTTTATTATACTTATTTGGACCTTGAAAATATATTTAGGAATAGGTATGATAATAAAATTTTAAAATAAATACAGTTAATTAGTCATTTTGAACTCTGCTAATTACAATATTAAATATTTTAGTTTTCAATTAATAAATGATTATATTTATTTAATTAGGGTTATAAAATAATTTAAATAATAATAGTCAATTAAGCTTCAACTGTTAATGCTAATTAATATTTAGTGAGTGATATTGATATTCTATTTTTAACACAAAATTTGACTGCTAGCTGACATAGTGAAAATATAATTTATATGTATTAATTTAATCTAATATTTAAAATAGTATTCATTTAATATATATTTAGATAGTCTTATTAATTTTTAAATAATAAAATTAAATCTATATTTTACTTAATAGAATTATAAAAGAAATCTAAAAATATTTATTTTTGGATCAAGGGGTTAAGATTCCATAAAATATTGCTTCAAGAGGCTATACAAATTTTCCAGGGGGCTCGAGCCCCTGCGCCTCCCCCTAGCGACGCCAGTGGAAGCGCTATATTCGAACTTTTATTTGTGAGTTTATATTATATAAATCAGAGACCTGCAGAGGCACCATTTGCACGGCCCGGCCCGGTTTTAAATTTTTAGGCCCGGATATTTAAAAAAAAATTTTTACGGCCCGGCCCGGATTTAAAAATTTAAAGCCCGGCCCGGATATTTAAAAAAAAAATTCAGGCCCTTCTCGGAATTTTTTAAAATTATATTCTACCTGGTATATACAAAAATTCAGGAGGTATTTTACCATATTTTTCAGCGAGTATTATCGCTTATTATTTAAAAAATACATGTAAAAAGCTAATATTTTGAGAATATTATATTGAATTTATAAAAATTATAAAACTGTTATTTATAAAAATGGATATTTTGAGCATATACTATATTTTATATTGCATTTATAAAAATAAAACTAATATTCATAAAAACGGTAATAATATTTTGAGCATATACTATATTTTATATTGCAATTAAAAAAAATAAAACTAATATTTAATTTATAAAAATGAAAAATATTTTGAGAATATATTATATTGTATTTAATTTACTATTAATTTATAAAATAAAAATAAATCGCTATTTAATAAAATGCATGTATAATAAATAGTATTTTGAAAATATAATCTAATTGCAAAATATTAATATAATTTATTTTATAATATAAATTTTTAACAAAAGAAGATAATTATATTCCTTTATTTGATTGTTTTGGTAAAATATGTTGTAAAAATTTAGATATGAATTATAAAAAAATATATTAATACTTTGAATAAATTTGCAGGAAATTAATAATTAGATCGATCTGTGGGTGTTAGGTAGTGTTAACCATCACCCAATATTATATTAATCATAACTATAATATAATATAATCTAATATCCATTAACTCATAATGTAAAAATTTTTATAAAAAATATTAAGGCCCGGCCCGGCCCGGGTTTAACAATCTTAGGCCCCGTCCGGATATATTAAAAAAAAAATTTAGGCCGGCCGGATGTGTTAAAAAAAAATTTTTAGGCCCGGCCCGGTTCGGATATGTTTAAAAAATTTAAAATACGGCCGGGCTTAGGGCCGGGCCTGCAGGTCTCTGATATAAATTATAAAATTGCTTCAGTATATATCAGAGAAAAATAATTATTATTTCTTAAATCTTAGTGAGGAATGATACGAGACTCAACATCCAAGGCTTCTAATATGTCTGAATCTGATTTTTGCAAAATTTAGAAATATTTGAATACATTGATAATAATTTTAAAAATATAAGCATACAAAAAATTGTATCAATTGATAAAAAACCCATTTTCTTTCACCATATCATCGTGATCTATATTTAGAGGTATTATGATTGTAGAGAAATTCATTTATACTGCCTGCATCGATCTGATGTGGAATCCCAATCGTGGGAAAGGCATAAATATTTTTACATGTTAAACCTAATTTTAAGTGCAACCAAACAAATTTGTTCGAATTATTAACAGAACTTGTCGTTAAAAATTTTTAGTATGAATTTATTTAGCCCGTTAAATGTTCTAGAGTGCCCAGCTAACAATTTGTGATTTTTTTTAGAAATTCTCGATTCGGCCCACTTCCCGGTGTTCTAGGCTTTCGCACGTGCCTGGCTTTTCAGATCTTTAGTGTATAATTCTGTTGCGTAGCTACAAGAGGAGGGGGGGGTCGGGTTTGGACTGCCCCCCCCCCCCAGAGCAAAATTTTCTTTAGATTATACGTTCAAAAGACTTAAAAGTGACTTTATATCAAATAAATACCATGAATATTTTTCTGGTTTTGATGTTAAAATTAGTTTTGTTAATGGCTCAATTTGAGCCGATATAGCTACCTCAATATATTAGCCAGAAAATTATGCAAGCCTGAAAATTTTGCTCATGGATGAAACAAAGGTTTACACATTATTCGTAAATCTCTAGGCTTGAACAATATTTTTTGGCTAAAATATTGAATTAGTTGTTTATAAAATCGGCACAAATCGAGCTGATTAACAATACTAATTAAAATAATCAATAATTCTAGGACTTTTATATTATAATAAAACAAATATGATTTTTAAGATAAACCCGGCCGAAGGCCCGTCAAAAGGGTCGAAGGCCCGTTAAAGGGCCTCCCAGGGAAAATTCCTAGCTACACCACTGACACATTTAGCCATTTATAAATATTGCAAATCTTTCCTGCACTCCTGAAAAACGTTCCTTCGCAATTGCCCATCATACACTTAACAACACCTGTAACATTTATTGAATTAATGCTTAGAGTATTTCGTGTTTTTGGTGTCATATCATTGCAGTTGATCAGCATTTGGAAGAAAAAATTTTCATATGCTGCTTTGATTTTTTTGTATTTTAATCCGGAAGAGCGAAAGGGGAATTTTAATGGTTAGATTTTAAAAAATATAATACTCGGCTCACAAATTTCATTTTATTTTAACTTAATAAATAATTATATTTAATAAGGAATGATAGAATAAAATTTTTAAAATGTTGAAAAAATATTTCAAATTTATATTTAAAAAAAAAAATATTTTAGGTTCTATTTCTTTAGAAAACTTGAGTCCCTAGCACTATCTGGTTGTTTAAAGTTGGAAAGATATGAGTTAGGGGTTAGATTTTTTAATAGAATTTAATCCTTTTATAATATGTTACACTTAACAAGTTATATTATTAAATATAAACGAATAGATTTAAATAATCAGCTGTTAATTGGGAATTTCCTTGAGTTGGACATAGGATTTTGCTAAGGGGGTGGGCACTCTTAGGTAAGTTTTTTCCCGTAAATTATATTGGAGATCTTTAGGACCACTTATTGAATGTTTTTTCCAAAAATTTTGAATCATAGTCGTTATTTTAAAAAGTTATTAACTTCTAATAATTTGTCGTTAAAATTCTTGTAGAGTGATATATTGTATAAGTCAACACAAAGTTTATATAAAAAAAAATCCAAATTAAATAGCACAATGGTGAAATATAATATAAAATGATAAGAATAAGGAAGAAAAAATAATTAGTCTAGCGAAGATCTGTGGAAAAGACTGCTATTGAAACTTTGAGAATTAGATTTAAGGATAGCTATAGTCAGTCTCTGTCTAAGGGTATATTTTAAGAGGGGGTGGAGGTTGTATGCCTCCCCTTTGGTTAAGCTCCTAAGTTGGATCTGTGGACCATAATCGTATCATTCTTATTTATTAAATTCTGATTTGTGAACCAATCAAATTATAATATGTCAATCATAATATTTCGAAAATTTTAAAATGAATTTGAACAAAGTTGTACTACAACCACCCCGTGAGGTTTCTCCCTTAATAAGAGTAATTTAATTATATGCAGAAAGTCATGCTGTTGATATAATAATTCTAGGGTGCTAGGTGGAGCTTTTTATTGTTAGGCGTTGTATATGGCATATACAGAAATAGTAACTTATTTATTGAATATCTTCAACCATATAATTATTTAGGGTCTTTGACTAAAAAAGAAATTATAGTTCGAGAAATGCAATTAAAACAAAAAGTAATCAAAGATGAACAAGACAAAAAACTAAAAGAATATTTAAATATAGGTTTAAATTTTTTTATAAATATGATTATAATTTAAATTAAAGAGGAATTGAAGTATTTATCAAAAGAACTTGGAACTACTTTCTCTTAGAAAATATTTATATAACCAATTTCTGATTTTACATTATGATTTAGTCGTAATTTTTACTATTTTATTACGCTGTGAATCAAAGTTTATAATATAATTTTGCAAATATTGAATAAATTATTTTATGCTTATTCATTTTAATCATGTTTGATTTTGGAATATATATTTTAATCAGAATATCTCTATTAAATTTAATATGGGTTGGTGTTAGTCTTGGTATATATAAAAATAGGAATTTTGTGCAGTGGTGAGTGCTTTAAAATTTGATGGCTACAATTTTTTATATACTATCAAAAAATATAATTTTTTTTATTATGAATATGAATAAATTCTTTATAATTTAATACTGTCAATAATATATTAATATGAATTAAAAAATTATCCATAAATCTTTCATTTCTTTGGGCTATATATTTATGAAGATTTCATTTATCTCACTAAGATTCATTTTCCATGGGTCAGGAATCCACTACGATGTTCAAGATCTACCAATATTTATCATGAAATTTGAGAATTATTATAATAAAAAAAGGATTTTTGGATATCTTAATTGGGATAACATTGTTCTTAATTTTTAATGCATAATTCTTAAACTTGCTTGATTATCTCCAATTATCAAATTCATATGATGAAAGCGACTTTCACACTACATTTCTGCAGGATAAAGCATCCTAATAAATTTTTTTTCTCTAGGATTCATCAATATATTTAATTTGAATGTTTGGCAGAATTTGCTTCCCACCAAATCACATATCTAGGTTCTTAGGCCTTTTATTTTTGAATAAAGAATATATCGAAAAGAATTTCTAAAATAAAATAATTTTATTAAAATTCATTTAAGTTATTTTACCTATTTTTCAAGCTATCCATTAGACAGGACTGCATGAGCTTTCTAGAGAAATTATAAATTGGTCTATTTATAATTTTTACTAATTTTGGATTTTTATTAAATGGTATATTTTTAAATAAAAGTTTAATTTCTTGATCAAGTGACATCTGTAAATATTCACCTATATAATATTTAAGTATTGTCAAATATCAGTTTTTTTAAAAATAGTTGGTTAAAAATACACTGAAGAATCTGATAAAAAATTATTATTCCTTGATCGAATAATCTTTCATGCTCCAAAAAAGTTCTTTGTGTTCCTGCAACTAGCCACCAAGGTTTTTCTTCATCTGTTGATTGATGTTGAATTCAAGATCCTCCTTATTTCCTACAAATTTAAATACGATTATTTGTATACATGATAAATATAAAATTACAGAATTGAGTGAATTTATAATTAGTGTACTTTTCATTAAAGGTCTAGAAATATTCCGAAATATCTATAGTGTTATGTCAGTGAGCCCATTTATGCCGTCTGTGTTGACCCCAGCTAAAAAAAATGGTGCCCTGCCAGTGGCCGATTAGATATTTTTACTCGTCCTGGTCGCTGTAATTTTGTCGTATCACAAGTAGTAATAATTTCAATGATATCATAACTAGAAACTATTAATACATTTTAAAAGAAATGAATTGAGAATAATATAAATATTAACATTAATGTTATTAATAATTTCATTCAAAATCATTAATGCGAGGAAAATTAAATTGTGATTGTAAATGGGAAACCTAGTTTGTAAGAAATTTATAAATATATTTAGCAGAAATTTTGATAAAAGTGACTTTATTGCAACTAATTTTTTGAAAGGGATCAAATCCACCCTGCCATTGAATCACCTTAGGTTTGATCATTTGTCCATATTGTCCTTGTTTGGTGTATTCTCAAAATGTCTATCTAATTTTAATTTCTTAACCCAAATTTGGGTTCAAAACATTGTAGTGATGGCGTGCATAATCTTTGCTTGGTGGCCCTTTTCCAGGTTGACTAACTTCCTTGTTAATACTCTTTTGCCATTGTGGTTTTGGACATCTACCACTTTTATATTTGGTACCCTAAGGGTCTTAATCCTCTACTTCCAACCAATATTATCTATTCATCCAATTGCCTTACTTCTTGTAGGGATTAGTCATATTAGCTTGATAAGCGGTAATATTGATTGTGAATATATATATTATTGTTAACTATTTATTTAGTCTGAATTCTTTTGTATATATTAAAAATTAAAGTTTTTTAAGGAAAATTTTTATATGTTTGAATATCATTTTACAGACAAATATATCATCGACAAAATTAAATAAGGTAGTATTATCTAATATTAAATTGACGCCTTAGCACATAAAAACATTTAAGTAAAAATGTAAAGTCAAATATATATTTAATACAATAAATTGTTCAAAATTATATTGACGCCTCATAATAACAACAACATTTATGTAAACACGTAGCAACACTTCTGTTCAACATGTTTAAAACATCAACCTATTTTTTCCACCTATTGCATCTATTCCAATCATTTCAGTTTTCTTGATCTTCCCTCCCAGTCAATGCCTCTATACACTAAGTGTATTGCCTAAATAGCACAACTTCCCCATTTGTTTCCAAGGTTGTTCCATTTCTGATATCAAAACCAACCTCTTTACCATCATCTTGCATCCCTTTTGCAGATACAAGCAAATGTAATGCTTACCTTCAGCAGACTTCCCTCACCCACTACACGTACACCTATTGTTAGCCCATTTACAATTTCAATTACAATTGATGAACTTTCTAGTAATACCTTTCCCACATACAGAATATGGCAAATTTCCAATCTCAACATCAATTTCTATTTTCTATATTCATTTAAACCTTCCTCATCCATAACCATTCTCTATCTGAATATTTTATTCTTCAATTCTGTTTCGCTTCTTGCTATCAATACTAAATCATCGGAATAAAATATTTCCCACGAAAGTCATTTGCGCGTCTCTAGTTACTTATTGATAAAATTATTATAAAAAAAGGTAAACGGATGGATGGTGTAGTTCTATCTTTAACTTAAAACTTCCACTATCTCCTTCATTTGTTCAAACATACCTTCTTCAATCATTACGGCAGATATTAACCTCCAAACCTGACTTTCACGAGGCCCTCTTCGAATGCCTTCTCCAGTACTATGAATGCATAAGGAAATCATTTTCCCTTATATTGGTATCTTTCCTGCACTTGCTTCACTCTACGAAAATTGCAGTACAGTATATCCTTCCCGGTTATACGTAATAAAAATTAATGCCGTGTTCTATAAATTGTGAATAAGATGCGCCATAGGTGTAAAATATTTTAGTCAAATAATCTAGCATATGATAATCAAATTTATATCGGCACTCATCGTAGTTTTGATTGAATTGGGAAAAATATTAATTGTTAAATAGAAGAGGTCTGGAGAGATCAAAATCTTAACCTCTGCCAGGGTCTTTTCTGAAAGTTTTTTTTCCCTGTCCCTGTCAGGCCCGAAAATTTTGGGCCCCATCTGCAAATTGTATCGAATAAGGGTCACTGGAATTCGCTATGGGGTGGGGGATAATTTTTTTACAATTATTCTATTAGTTATTTTATAAATATTTTAACGTTCAGAGATTTTATAAAAAATTGACAATTTCTAATACACAAATTCAAATATATATTAAATATGTATAATTGGTGTATGAATCAAAATGTCTCGAGAAAAACTTTGTAAACAAAAATATAAATTTTTTAACCATTTTAAATGTGATATATAAATTTAAATTATATTTTAAAAAAAATAAATGTCAGAAATGCAGATAAATGCACTTAGATATTCTTAAGAATTATTGCAAAAAAAATATGGTGTATTAATAAATGTTGCTTTAGAATATAATTACGGCCTCATTTATAGTAAACGCGTTATGTTAGAGCGTAGCGTTATTTAACGTAGCGGCAAAATCAAGTTATCAAATAAGTACAATTTTATGGAGCTCTATGATAAAATTTGAAAAACGTATGAGCGATGCGTTGATTAAAAAGTATGAGATACGATTATATAAATAATAGCGAATATTCCATAAAAATGTATGATTTGTCTTAAATATTTTAAAAAATAATCAACTCTATCTTAGCATTATCTATTAAATTATGATTTTGAAGAATCAGCCGTGATTTCGATAGCGTTAAATAACGCAACGCTTGAAGATAACGCGTTTGCTATAAATGCAGTTATTCAATTTTCTTTAGTAAGTTTTTAAAGTATGGGTGTGATGGTAATGTAAAAAATGTCCATATTGTCTTGAAAACTTTCCAATATCTTTTCCCATACCGCATCTGGGTCAGCTCTTAATAAAGGTAGACATATTAGAAACTTGAATTTTAAGTTTACCTAACTCCCTCGCAACCACAGATAAATAAGATGCTGACTTACCAACGGTTTAACAAAGGGGGGAAATAAATGGAACAATAGAATATGATGGTAAAAGAAGAATATACATAAAAATACTAAAATTATGGTACAAATCCAAAAGCACAGCAGTCAAACAAATATACAACAAGTCCTAGAGTATAGGTGGTTGCCATAGTCAAATTATTGGCATATAACGAAATGTATGAGCAACTTCACACAGCAGAGGAGCAATATAAAATCTACAGATTAGCCAAACAAGAAGAGAAAAATGTGAGGGATATAAATGGACCTCCAAAAGTAATTAAAAATAGAAAAATTGATAATAAATGGGAAAAGATAATTAATAAATGAAAAGAATATTTTTTAGGAGCTTCTCAAATTCCCACATACTACATCTAGATGAACACCCACCATGTAACATAAAAAGTAGTCTCAATCACGTGAAAAATGCTGACAAGTGATCCTTGTGATATTCTAATAGAAAGCCTTGAAGCACTAGGAGAGGAAGGAATAGATTTCTTTACAAATCTATTCAACAAAATACTGCGAAAGGAAGAGATTCAAAAATAGAGGCAATAGCCAGGGGACCCATATAATTGTCAAAATTACAGAGACATAAAACGTCACACTATTTAACTTTGAAAAAATAATAGAAAAATAAATTAAGAAACATAATCAAAATAGGAACAAAAAGCTTCATGTGGTCTTTCTCGATCTATTGAGTTTTAGATAGAATCCTAAAAAAATTTGTCTTGTTCTAACTACGTTAGAAGAAGGTACCGGAATGTATAAGAATAATGAATCTATATGAACCACACGGCAATAATCTACAACACATCAACCGGCTTTCAAA